TATACTCAGCCAATATTGTGAGGGAGTAGGCTTCAGGGTTAGGATGGTGAACAAGTCCCTCTCGAAATGTCAGCCATGGAAAAGGGAGCAGGAGGGAGAGGAAGAGGCAGAGAAGGAGGAAGAAGGGGCCGTCCCCAGCAAACTCCCCAATTTATACTGAATGTGACATTGATTGTATGAATAATATGAATTGGTCAGCCTGGGGTCACCTTGGGGTTGACTCCTGTGGGTTTCCATTCCCCCAGCATCTGCAACATTATCTCAAGACCTTGAAGACCTTGAGCACTATGGCAACCTGCACACCAGCATTAGCCAAAACCTGTAACAAAGTTTTTATCAACTTTATTCCCATAAAATAGAGTGCTGTAGTCCTTACAAAATCGCAGTTTTCCTCATCAGAAAACTGATTGTAAAATTCTGTCCCACTAAACAAGGACAGACACTCATCAGCAAAGGAGTGAAGGGGCTTGAGACATCCCCTGAGCCCTCTCATTCCTCCTTGGAGTGGTGTGTAGTAAAAAAAAAGTCTTTCAGCCTTTGAGACCCATCACTGACTGCTGAGTAATGGCAGTTTCCTCCTGGGGACCCACACTGTGCCTCAAGAATGATAATTGCCAAGGCACCAAGCTCAGAGCGAGGCTTTTTTGGGAGCAGCTGAGCTCTGCACCTCTCCCCCCCTCCTAATGTGGTTGGTAGGTATCCTTACACCTTACAGCGCCATTTGAACAGGATAGCCACCGTCTGCCTGGCAATTTAAGGCTTTACAAACCAGTCTCATTCCCCTGAGCCTTCCTCAGGCACAACCTATCCAAGGATGAACACACAGGAAAGTTTTGAAGGTCCCTGGAAGGTAATTTCAGTGACTTCAGTATCAGATTCCTGCTTTCAGCTGAAAGGAAAGGATATAAGGAGGTGACTCTCTAAAGCTCTGCTTTTATAATAGGCTTTTTTCCCCCCACTCAGCTACTTGTCTTCTTGCCTTAGCCTGAACAGAGGCCTGATAAGGGCAAGAGACAGGCACACAGAAGCAATATGCTGCTGGCAGATAAGCTAATTAAGTGGGAGACAGGTGTAGGGACTGAGAAAGGGGCCACTTTGCTTCAGATTATTAACTTGTTTTTGCCGGGATTTACACCAGAGGAAAATGACCTCGCTCATTGAGTTGGGACACACGGCAAGAGGGGAGGGCAAGGTGGGTAGGAGGGGAGGAAGGGTGGAGAGGTGAAAGGGAAGAGGAGATGTAGGAGAAAGCAAGAGGAGGGGTGCATGGCAGTGAATGTGCAGAGGGAGGTCAACAAGGGAGGAGAGGCCAGGAAAAATGTGGAGAGAGGAATGCATTAAGTGCGAATGATGGGAAGGAGAAATTAGGGAGAGGTTTGCTTTGCTGGCCCTGCCTGTGAGCTGCTCATTGCTGTCCTGTGCTGGGCTCCACACATCGGACATCAGTGGTGCAACTGTGCAAATCCAGGGACACATCTTCCCTGGGTCATGGAGCTGCTCCTGCCTGAGCATCCCTATTTGCCTCCAGCATGAGAGAACTCAGGGGAACAGTGGCTTCTGCCCAGATACCCAGGACAGGGCACCAGCAGTCCATCTCCCTTACAGACCTGTCCCCAGGTCCTCTGGGACCCATCCTAGCACCTACTCCAGTGCAAATCTCTGACCTGCTGGCAGTCATTTGAACATCTCCTATGAGGCTCTGCTGGCTCCATCATTGCCTCCAACAGTACTGACACCTCAGTCTTGTGGACAGGACACTCAACAGGGCTGGTTGCACTCTGTGGAAGTGGAAGGTCTTCTCTATTTCCAGGCTGTATGGAATAGACTACGTCCCACTGATGCAATGGCTTCGAGTGGCTGGGGATGGCAAGCCATGTCATTGAGATGCTGTGTAGGTTGTGTTCTCATCTCTGATCCTCCTGTTTCACCTCATGGTTGTCTCTCACCCCTACAGGAGTGTGCTGGTGAACCTCTGTTCTCCCTCTTCTGTGCCATCAAGCAGCAGATGGAAAAGGGTCCCATCGATTCGATCACTGGGGAGGCCCGGTACTCGCTGAGTGAGGACAAGCTTATCCGACAGCAGATTGATTACAAGACACTGGTGAGTGCTCTGAGCACTGGCTAAGGACTTGTCCAGCCTCTTCTAGCAAAAAGGGATTTATAGAAAAAGCAAGTGATGGGCATGCTGACCCTCTGGGACGGTTCTCACAACCCAGCAGGGAAACCTTGCTGAAGGTTAATCGCATCCCCTAACACAGCAAGTTTTGGCATTGAAACATCTCCTTGTAAAGCATGTTTGCAAAGACAGCTGCTTCCAAGTGACTTCTGTTGTGCCCTGCCCCATGCCCAGAGCATCTCCAGCTCCCCAAATGCATTGCCTGTTCTTTAAAAGTATTTGCACTCATTGCAGGGTAGGCTGACAGTGCCAGTCCTTTAGCATTACTTGGTTTAGGTGAGGTCTGGGAACATTGGAAGACAAGCGTAAACTTTGTGTCATGAATACGCCTGTGAATGCGAGGACAATTGATACGGGCAATTTACTGTGTTCTGTTAGACAAAATACTTGCTAGTACCCATCCCTTTTCCCTGGAGTGATGTCACAGAATCACAGAATCACAGAATATGAGGAGTTGGAAGGGACCTCAAAAGCTCATCCAGTCCAACCCCTGCCAGAGCAGGATCACCAGACCAGGTCACACAGGAACACGGCCAGGCGGGTTTTGAATGTCTGCAGAGAAGGAGACTCCACAACCTCTCTGGGCAGCCTGGGCCAGTGCTCACCCTTCCAACATCCCTCTGAGTTGTAAGTCAAAGCTAACAGTCTTCCTACAGCAGAAAGGTGTGGTTGTCACTGCAATTTGTCACCACCCTGAGCTCTTCCATGGCAGGAGTATGTTGTTCATGGTGAGGTTTCTTCCTCTTCACTCTTAGGACCACCTGGGGTTATTTTCATTCCCTCTCTCCCCATCACCTCTTCCCTTCTCCCTGGTCCCCAGCATCAGTGGCAGAGATGCCCAGTGCCCAGTGTGGGCACACAAAGATCTGGTGTTTGCTGGGCAGTGCCTGCCTGGGGCAGCAGCCCTTGGCCATATGGGGTGTCTCCAGATTGAGTTCAGGCAGGTTGGGCATGAGCCCTTGGCCATGAGACACTTGTGATCACAGGGACACCCAGATCAGGGCCATCCTGAGATCTTGTGGTCAGTGCAAAGTCCATGCTGTTCTGCTAGTGGCAGCAAAAATGGTTTTTATGGGGCTATATAGCAAAGTCTTCTCTAGAATAACCCTCATCAGAAAAAAAAAATGAGAGACTGTTTCTCCGATGAGGATTTCAGCATCAAGGAATGTGTTAGAGGCACACAGTGAAGGGACCTATTAGATCTTCTCTAGAGCTAATGCAGCCATTACTCTTGAGCAAGCACAAGTCAAAATGAAATGAACTTGGTTTAAAGATTTCAAGGGAAAGAAAATTAATCCCTGTCACTGAGTCATTTGCTTCAAAATGTAATTGTCTGCATGGTGAAAGATACACTTTGCGTATGTCCAGCTTTAGCTTCTACCCGGAGATTACACCCTTTTCCTGCTTGATTAAAGAGCAGCAATTAAAAAGCATTAGATATCTCTTCTTAGTTTATGTGTTTGTGGGCTTTCTCTTTTTCCTGGATACAGTAAATCCACTGAGCTTCTAAGTCTCTGAGAGATGAAGAACACTAAGTCTTCAGTGATCCTTGTAATTTCTTTATTTCCCATGTCTTTGTTCTTGGAAAACCCCAACCCCAGATGTTAGGGTGTTCAGAAGATGCTCCGAACTTACCAGCTTATTTTATTTGCTCCTTCAATTGAGGGATATTCATTGCACTTATCTTTAGCTGGCTTTGAGAGTTGTGTCCAGTCAATGTGAGTGCCCTGGACTGTCTTAGATCTTAGCTCAGGTGGGATGATGGTAGAAATACGTACTTTTCTTCAGTAACTACAGACAGTCTGGAGCTGAGCTTTGATTGAATCCAAGTCTGATGAGGGGGTAGACTTCATGCTTAAATAAGACCACAGTTCTATTTTTTGCATACTAAAAACGTGACTTTCCTATTAAATCAGCAGCATAGTGCTTCTTTTCTATTATGTGTGATTGTCTGGGAATTTGGAGGCCTGATCTCACCCAGAGAGAGTGAGCAAAAGGAAGAAAAATGCAGCCACAGAGTGATCGCTTTCAGCAAAGGAAATCCCCCCGATCCTTTTAGGTTTGATATAAAGCAGCCAGCAAAGGGTAGTAATTATACATCAGCCTGAACAAAGCTCTCCTCCATTCGCTTTGTGTCATTTGATGTTAATCAGCTCTCCCTCTTACATCTCAAGAGCAGACAAATATATCCCGATAGGAATCTCAGCAGATGTACAGAGATCAGCTTCGGTGAAGGAGATTAAGAAGCAGCAGAATATGAACAGGATTGTTCTTCCTTTCTGTTTCTCTTTATTTCTGTTTTATTTTGTCCTTCCTCTACTTTCCTTAAGCAGTCTGTCGTCTTCTATTAAAAAAATACAGTAATGAAATAAAGCAAGAACTGATTCAGTATTTGTAATATAAGAATTCTCTCAATGTCTCCTGCTCTCTACCAAACACACCTGGTCACCACTGTGAGTTTGCAGTGTGTGTGGCTAAAATTCATTGGGTTGTTCATGTTTCATGAGTGCCAGATGATTGCTTGACTGAGTGAAATCACAGTCCAGCAGTGTGGCACATTGAAACAGGCTGTTTATTGTCATTATTTTGAGAAGACAAGACCAAGGACTCTTTTGGAAGGCATTTATTCATTAGCCTTCATTGGTCACGACCAAATATTTTAAGTCATGGTTTTGAATATGGTTTGAGTGAAAAGCAGATCCAAATAAATTGTCTTATCCAGGGAGAAAAAAGGTGAAACTGCGCTTTCAGACATCTGGAATTGCTGGTTTTGCAATATACACCTCATTCACTAAATTTAGATTGCTTCAGTCTGATTTCTCTCCAAACCAGATTGTTCTGATTTGAGCCTGCCAGGTCCTACAGTTCTCCAAGAAAGCAGCCCTCGGTGTCCTAGGGTCTTTGCAGTCCGTAACAATTTCTGCACTTATAAGGGGTTTTTCAGTCCAGGAGAAACTAAGCCAGTTACGATGTGATTTGCTAGAATAAATATGATTTGCTAGGATAAATGTGTGGCAACTAAACAGTAGATCTTCTCCCAAGCTGTATACCTCAGAGAAGCACCCTCTTGTGCTAATGTCTTCGCTAGCAGTCAGTGCTCGTCATCTATGGTCTGCAGTGTTATTAAAAACCCAGCTAGATTATTCCATCTATGAGAGACAGGAAGATCTCATCCCTGCTGAATGCCATCTGCCTTTGCCAGAATTCATCATTTTTTAACCATTCACCAAACTGAAGTTCAGATGCAAAAACCTTGCTCCCTCCTGCCACTGCTTTGCTGTCACTGAGAGAAGAAATACCATCCATCTCCTGCATCAGCTTTGCTTCTGTTGATACAAATAATGCAGGGGAGCAAAGGGATGTGTGTCAGAAGGTGTCAAAAATATTGGCTAATTAATGCATGGAGGTGGTAGGTGGGAGCTGCCCAGTCCATCCTGAGCGGTGGCATGCTCTGCGTGGTCCCTGCACGCCTCGGTGGCTCCACTGCTGGGAGCCTGATCGGATCACCTCTCCTGACAACATATTCCAGATGGATAAAGATGCTTTGAGCTGTCTTTGGTCAAGACTTTCCAGGGAATTGTTCCTGTGTGACCTGGCCTGGGGGATCCTGCTCTGGCAGGGAAGTTGGACTGGATGAGCTTTCAAGGTCCCGTCCAACTCCTCATATTCTGTGATTCTGTGAATTTTGGTGGCAGAGAGGAAGCCACTACAGAGATATTATAAACCTCTTGGCCTCCTTGGGGGGTCCTTCTCCTCCTGACTCCCTCCCAGTCTTCACTATGTGGTAGCCCTCTTGGACCTTCCTTAGCCCAATTTAGAAGGGAGAGAAAGATGTCTGTTCCTGGTACAGAAACTGTAGACCATTCAAACACAGCGCACAACTCAGAGCTGGGGTCCTCATATGAGTAATGCCAAACTGTCTTTATTATTTAAATGTCAGTAATCTGCAGTGGAGATCAGGGCATGGTTGTACTAAGCATTGCATGTATACATAAACTGCTCTTGGCTGGAAGGACTGGCAGACAAAAAAAAAAGCCCAAGGATGTAGAAAAAGGTCACTAAACACAAATCCAGTGAGGTGATATGCCCCAAGGGCACACACAGTCACTGGGAGAGCAGAGCTCAGAAATTACTACTTCACTTGCTCCCAGTCCCATAGCTTTCCATGCTGAGCCCATAACTGGCACCATTCTGACGCAGACCTCAATGTGTAACAGAACAGCAGCAGCAAGTGCTGGTATCCTCTCAGTGGCAAAACACTCAGCATCTCCTTGAGTGACATTGAAGTCCACCTTGGTGGCTCTGCCCCACAGACCTCAATGGCAGGTAGTGGATGATGGAGCAGTAACAGCGAATGCATTAAGATGAGCATAGCAACATTTCCCTCAGATTTACTAATCACGTAGGAATACAACACAGACCGTCTCAGGGGTCTCTTCCCCACCTGTTGACATCAAAGACTGTGTTGACATAGCTGAGAAGCACTGCAGGAGCAATGGGATTAGTTCTCTGCCTTATATTGTTATGAGGACAGCTCTGGGTGGAAACACAGGGCAAACCTTACTCTTTTTGTGAGACTGGAGCATCTGAACTCTGCTAAATGGATGAAGCCAATGCTTAGGGTTTTTTTCTCATGGTCATCCCCAACCATGGACGATGCAGGGAAGTCTTGGTTGACAACAGAGGAAACCCTTGGGAGGATTCCCATAGAAATTATAACAATCCTCTTCTCCATTGCAAACACCTCATTATGATTAGGAGCTTCAGTCTGTTGGAAGGGGAGCAGAGATTTTCAATCTTTGGTGTAAGGATGACTTCCATAGGGCCCATGTCTATCTCCAAAGAACAGCCATTTAGTGTGTGCAATACACAGATGAATCCTGCAAAGTTCTTGAAGTCTTTGTATGGAGAAAAGTTTAGTGCTCCACAACAGAACAGTTGGAAAACACCAACTGAGAGTTGGTATGAAGCTTGGGACATATACGTCAAAGTCACCGGGCTCTGAGTGGACTAGGTTTCTAGAAACGATGATCATATTACCTAAAATGATGAAAGGAGCCTCTTGATTATGCTTGAAGTGAACACGCTGGTGCCCAGGGGTTGGCAGCTACTACCAGCTGCCCTACTCTATGTTTGAGAACACCAAGTGCCACCCTCTCTGCGTGTAGCTCTTTGAAGTATCACATTCCCTGCTGCTTCTTCTTCCAACTGAGCTGGAAAAGAGGAAAGCAAGGACTACTGTAGTCAGGGCATGAATGATAGTGGCTCACTCAGCCCTTCCAAAGTTACCACCTCATGAAATTTAAGGACAACTAAGTTGCAAGAGCAAATCACCATCATCAGCTGCCAGCCAGATGATGGTTCACATTGCATGGTGGGTACTGGTGTGGTGGGCACTGGTCAAGATTTGCAGGAGGTGTTGGCCCTTCTGAACTTAGGAGCTAGATGCCTGGTAAGGTAGTCCAGAACATTTTAAGTAGCACTTAATGCCTTCATGTGGGGAACTAAACTGAATCCTAGGTTTTTGCATCAGAGCTGGATCACACTGCAGAGCTTGCTCTGACTGGCACCTCAGTCTGCCTTAGCTGAGGTCAGATCACTGAGAGAGACCTTCAGAATAACTTGGTTCCAGAACCATAGCACTCTCAAAAAAGCTGCCCTAGCCTGGCATCACTGCTTCATTTCCAAGATGAGGGAAGCAACTAATAACCTCAATGCTGGATGCGTTTCAACAGTGCTTTTAATGTGTGGTTCTGTGATCCTTTGAGATGAAAGATGCCACAGAACTGTAAATCTGTGCCATTGTCATTATTATTTGAATTGATGCTTCTTCAATACTCCTGGAAGTGACATATAAATAATAGTATTATGATATAATCAATATCTTGTATTTACATCTCTGCTTTCATCCAGAAAGATCACAGAGCTCTTTGTAGGCAGTATCTTCATAAGTCCCTCTTAGTTTAACAGAACAACACCAAAGGGAGCCTGGTGAGCCAATACATAATTATACCAATACGTTTTCACCCAGTTTAAAGCCACTTTGAGATCCCACCTCATCTTAGTAGGTTAAGATGGAAAGTGATGGAGAGTCCAGTACCTGTTGCATGCTACAGAAGGGATTTTACAGTCAAGGTAGAATTTGTCTAAGGCACCAAAGCTATCCTATCTGCACTTATAAAAGTGGCACAGGAACATTTAATGACAGTATATAACCAGAAGCGTCACTGAACACTCTT